GGATGCAGCCGTCAATCGAATAAATTTGTAGACAGAGTGTAGCAAGTACAATAGGGAATGATAAAAAGTATGAAAATAAATGCGGCAAGATCAAACGGAGAATTTAGGTGAAATTATTACCGTGATAATACGGTTCAGAAATACCACCGAGGTGATGTTTACTTAATGTGCCTAAAGAAAGAAGTTAGCAACTCATGATTTCATTCAGGTTATTTATACAATGTGTGCCTAAAACTCGGATAATACATATAAAGTTTAGTAAATTTGAATTTATTTATACTGAAATTCAAGATATTAGGGACTTCAAATAATGATCGCGAGTTAAAGGGGATTAAAGAGGTTCATTCTATGTGCTGACAAAGGGCTTCTTTCATATAGATTTGTGAGGTATTCTCGGCTATGCCGTCGACAGGCCTGTGGACTACGTTTGTTAAACGTAATATCTATATGAAAAGCTTCAGCTCGTCAGCAGTATATGTAATGCAAAGTATATTATATGTAAAAGGGTAAATTAAATTATTTTAAAGTCAAAATAAAAAAAAGGAATATAAAATAAGGTTATGGAATATTGTAGCGGCGTGTTTGGCCACAATATTCTCCGCCAGCACAGGTCTTGCAGGGAGTTACGCCGTGGCACGTGCTTTTCACGGATCTTTTAGTTCTGATGTACCGTGGCGGCGAGTTGCTGCCCACAACATTCGGTCACTCGCACCTCGGAGGCGTCTCTACAGTCGGTTGGCGCTGCAGAGCACCGATCAAGACCTGGTGGTGGCCACGATCTGTGACGTTAATGCTGCTGAACTTCTTCTAGTAAGCTGGTAGCCGGGTCGTGGCTCCAACTATTACTATCACAGTGATTGTCAAAAATGAAGCACATGATTAGAAAACGTGCCTTTATTCTTTGCCTATCAACTCAGAATTAATCAACATAAGAGAGAGAGAGAGAGAGAGAGAGAGAGACCTTAATCGTAACCCTAACTCGCACAGATCACGGCCGTCGGCCAGCGCCCGTCGTAAGACATCGTCTGTCTGTCGTCATGTTCTTAGCTCAGATCGTCGTTGCATTGTTGACTCCTCCCCTTTTTTTCAAAAATGGACGTCCTCGGCCAAAGTTAGCAAGGATTTCCGCCACCACTATCGAGGCTCTGCATCGCAGCCTGTAGGTTACCCAGATAAATCTTTAACTTTATTAATACGCAGAACGCGAAGCAGTTTAACGCTGCTGCAGCTGTCATTTGGTTGTAAGAAATTGCGACTCCGTTATATGCTGCACGCGATTTTCGTTTCGTAAAAAAGGAACAGGCTTAAATGGAAGTGCAGTCTGAGAGTTTCGTTGCGGTGGTGATCAAGCATGGATGATCGCTGAGTCACTGCGAATGGTTAATCGTAGCCTATGACGTGACAGCGTGTGATATCTGGCATTTGCGTCCGATTAGGAAAGATTCGTATTATATACCATACAAAAAAATATTAATTCTACAAAATTCAATAATTATTTTTTTAAAGCTAGAGTTTTCATCTTAGCCACATTAAGCAGCTGTCTAAGTTAGCCCTTGTGAAACCCTCTTTCAGCCTTTTGCCTTCTGACAAATTCTGCAATTTAGAACGATTTCGGCCGCTATTGTACCCATTTTTGGAAAATAATAGTAAAGCAGCACTTTTTTAATATTCTCTCGAGCAAATCTGTGAGCCCTGCTATGCTCCACAACTAGTATTTATTTTTTTGCTCGTCCGGTATGATAACGTCCGCCACCCAAGACTTGCAGTACCAAAACTTAGTGACCGGGAAGAACCAGACTATCTTGAATACGAGCCAATACTGGAAGCCTACAATGTATGGTATTCACGACGTTGAGTGTTACTACCTCCTTCACTAAGTCCACTAATGTCTCCCAATCAGAAAAATGAATTTGATGCCAAGTCTTTGTACCAAACACTATAAATAGTCGCTTATTTGACGTGGACACCTCCTCCAATATGATCTGGTTTTTAAAACAGTTAAATGGCTTTTCTGTGACCTCAATGACAAGAGTTGATGACACTTCACTGTGAATAGTGGCTCAATCTGACGCCGCTGAGCTAAACGCCCTCCACACAGTTTTCTTTCCCTGGCTTATACCTGACCTTTGCACCACTTTCTTCAATGCGGGCCTTCTAACGTTTGAGTTTTGAATTAAGATTCTTATCAGAGATCGCAAATATAAGGGGCTGACGGTCGGTAAATATGTGCTTTATAGAGGTGGTTACAAAAACTACCCAAGGCCCATACAATTGCTAGTACAATTGCTCCCTTTCGTTCGTAGCATAATTCAATTCCCTATATTTCAACGTTCTGGATATCATCGATATAGGCCTATTTCCCTGAGATAAGACCGCACCTATGCCAAAGGATGAAGCATCAGTTGTCAAATTAAATGGTCGCGGAAAATTTCGGTAAAGAAGTATAACGTCCTCTGAGGCAAGGATATTTCTATCAAAGCTCACCGAAATGCCTTTTGAACGGTATTTGCTGACCCTGCCACCTTCACTTATCAGTAACTCTGTCAGAGGGTCGCTATTGATGCGAAATTTTTGATGAAGCATTGATAGTAACTTGCTAAGCACAAGAGCGATCTCAGCTCGAACAAATTACTTGGCTGTTTAAACTCCTTGATGGCTTTTACCTTGTCCTGGCTTGTCCTAGTACCCTCCTTTGTGACAACAAAACCAAGGAAATCGACACTTTCTTTTAAAAAATGTGACTTTTCTCTGGACATTCGCATGTTGGCGTTCTGCAGACTCTTTAAAACCTCCGCGATATGCGCAACATGAGACTCTTCAGTTTCTTTCTATTTTCTCCCGTAGAACATCTATCTATCTATTGCCCTTTGCTTAAGCCATTCTTTAGTCCGAAAGGTAGTCGGCAGAACTCGTATTTGCCTCCCTTGAACGAAAAAGAAGTTTTCTCCCTATCCAATTCCGCAAAATCTATCTGGTGATATCCGGACTTAAGGTCGAGTGTAGTGAAAAATTTGGCCCTTTCCAGATTTGACAGTATCATATTTATACTCGGCATTGGTTATCTATCGGAAATAGTTTTCGAATTTAATTTCCTAAAATCGACTACTAAGCGTTTATTAGGCGATCCCGAGGCGTCGGTGCCTTTTTTACCTACAACCCATATGGGGTTATTGTAGGGAGACCGAGATGGTCGAATTATGCCATTTTTTAGTAAGTCTGTGATCTCCTGATTGACAAAATCGGCAGCACCCAACGGAAACAAGTCCAGCTTTGAATATACTGGCTCGTTATCCTCTGTCCGAATAGTCGCTACAACGTTTGTGTTGAACGGTAACTTCTTATTTGGGTCAGCAAAGGCCCCGGAGTATTTAGACATATCTTCTGAAAACCTTTCTGCACTGTTGGGGACACGACAATACCCTCAACCTTCGTAAAGTTAGCCTGAGCGCATTTTTGAAAGTGCAGATCCTCACGTCCCCCATTTAATCTAATGAAATTGTTTTTAAGATCAATGGTCGCCCCTACTTGTGCTAACAGGTCTAGGCAAATTATGCCGTCAAAAGTTTAAAGTCCGGCTAATAAGAAGAAGGGGCTTTCTACACCAAAAAGATAAAACAGGCATTTGTGTTCTATTTTTTCAAACCCATGAAGCGACTTGAGAGTAAATGGAGAATCAACGGGAATTGAAGTCGGCCACCCTATCTCACTCTTGATGTAGATTTTAGAGGTCCCTGTGTCTACTAGAAATCTTCATGATTCCCTGCTAATGTTCGTTGGATGAACGGAAGCAGGGAAGATCCCCTAAAAACTGGACGGCATCACTTTCATAGTATGCTTCTTCTTTACCATCTATGTCATCCACTGCATCACTAGCAATCTGATTATAATATTCCTCAGTTTGACCACCCTTATCTTCTTCGGACAGATGATTAACTCTTTGACGCGTAAAGTAAGACAATCTTTGAGAGTTCATCGGCTAATTGTGTGAAATCTGTTGCTGTGCATCCGAGTGCCTTTAGCGCGGAAGAACTCTGAGGGCGTTGAAAGTTTGCTGAATGATGGATTTTCGACGATGTTGGATCTACCTCCATCTTCTCTAATGGCCTATTATCGACAACGATTCGTTGAACTTGATCCCTGGTAAAATATAGATATTTCCACCCTTATTTATGTACCTGATCGTGGTTGGAATCGGATGTCCTTTGCAATGTACTACTTTGGGCCTATCTAAGCTGTTTCTACTCAACGGACCTGGCATACTGTTTGGCAAAGGCCTCTCATGGTTGCCTCTATTTCCTGAGCCATTGCCAAGGCTAATGGCAAGTCCCTAGGCTGAGCAGCCACCAGCACACCGGGTAAGTTTCTCTTCAGCCCGGAAATAAATACACGCAAGGCATCAGCCCTATACTTATCATTCATAGACCGGGCATGGTCAGTCTCATATGTCATATTTATCTTATTTGTAAGGAGCGTCAGCTTCATCTCAAGCTCCTCATAAAACTGAGTGATAGATATCTGTCCCTGCCTCAGTGTCGTAAGCTCTTGCTTGAGCAAGTACAATGGCAGTGACTTCCCCCAATTTCTCTTCAAACTCTTGTTTCTGCACCTGTAATGCAGCCGAAACCGCAGCATTTATGATTGCCTGCAGTTGTTGTGGATCCATGCTTTGTTCTTCCTGTACTATACGTTCGACGTCCTCTTCTGATATAGAGAGATTACTTAGCTCAACAACCAAGTCTTCGAACTCTGAATCGCTCATGCAATCGCTATTAAGACCAAACGCAAGCGAGCAAACAACACAAAAAAAGAAGTCTCTTTGGCTGTCAGCTCAGAACTAATTAACATAAAAGAGAGCTTAATCGTAACCCTAACTCGCACAGATCACGGCCGTCGGCCAGCGCCCGTCGTAGGACTTCGTGTGCCGTCCGTCGTCGTTTTCTTAGCTCAGATCGCCATTCCATTGCTAACTTATATTCAAAATAATCAAAATTAAAACAAAATTGGTTAAGAGTTGTTTTATACGAAAATTCCAAGTCGTTTGGAAACACATCAATGATGAATCTCAATAAATGTTGCTGGGGATGTCCAGCGGATTCTCAAAAAATAGACAGATCAGATGAGGCAACAATTTCGCCGGAAAAATCACACGCAATCGTCTCTCAATATAAACCTGTTGAGTTTTTCCATGCATGCGTAGGGTAGCAGAGGCTTTTGCTCCAAAACTGCGAGAATTATTGGTTTCTGGTTTATTCTGGTTTTCTGGTTGGTCATCCAGGCAATAAGGTTTTCATAAGAATTAATTAGAGCCCAAGGAGGGAGGCTTGATGCTGAAAAAACCCTACAGAAACAGGTTGAGGTAATATTCTTGTCACACACTCTTCACTAATTCTTACCCTAGCCAAGTAGGTACTCGGGGCTTCAACCACAACCCACAACTGAGGGGGAAGTTAAATACCCGAATACAAATGGATCAATTTAAATAATTTTAATTGGCGAGGTTATTTCCAGCTTAACACGTGTTTCTTTATAATTGTCGCCACGAGGTTACTTGGATAATAACTTAACTTTTGCACCGGTATTAAGGGAATGAGAACGGGATCAGCTGATTAGGATCGATAGATACCAAAAGATATATACTAGATAAGCCATTGGTCATGACTGCGTTTACTTTCCAATACCAAATATAATAATGAGCTATTCTCACCCTCTCACCACAGTTTTGATCTTTACCGTACGGGTAATGATAAAAGCTGAAAAATGGGTGATGCAAAAATTATTCCTACGAGTGCTAGTTTGGCGTTAGCATGGGAGCCTAAGTTACTGAGTTGAAAATTATTTTTTATAACTTCATCCCCAATATCACAAGTCCGCGATCTACTTCTCAAGTTATATGTTACGAATGTGATAAGGTAAGAAATTTAACAAACTATTAGTGTCTATGGTTTCAGGACTGTGGAACCCTTTTAAAGCCGAGACTTGTTGTGGGAGACGACGAATATCCCGTACCAAGTTTTCCGGCGATGGATTGCACTTTTGGCCTGTATGTGTTAATTAGGCCGCAGACCTTTATTTTGTCGGAAGAACGAATTACACACATCTCCTCAGGGAACGGAATAAACTCATCTTCATCGCTGTCTATAATCTCTTCCTCAACCTAAAAGCATTTACAGACAGTCGGACATTAGGTCTGGACCGGGAGCTCCAGCAAAATTCCTCATGCCTATAAACTGGGAGTGGGGACTTGTAAGAGCTCATGTTTCAACTTGGGTTGTAAATTGCAATTTACTTCTGTGGTTATATCTCATCGAACGATTCAGTGGTACCTTGTTTTCGACGCCGTAATTCATTCTTGATGTCACACTTAGTTCGTTGGTCTTGGTACCTATCTTTCAGGCGATCGCACAAACTAAACCAATTCATCATATCTGAGCTCCGATGCACCCGCCAACAAAACGTCAATGCTGATCCCGAAAATAGGAGATTATCAAACTGAAACAACAGATCGAAGTTTGGCAAGGATTTACAGGGGTTTAAAGAGGTTTACTCTGTGTGCTGACAATAGGCTTCTTTCATATAGATTTGTGAGGTATTCTCGGCTATGCCGTACTTACGACCAGGTTCTCTGATTTCGACAGGCCTATGGACGACGTTTTGACCTTGCAGATAATGGTTAAATGTAATATGTATATGAAAAGTTTCAGCTCGTCAGCAGCACATGTAATGCAAAAGTATATTATAAGTGAAAGGGTAAATTAAATTATTTCAAAGTAAAAATAAAAAAAGGTATATATTCAAAATAATTAAAATTAATACAAAATTGGTTTAGAGTTGGTTTATACGAAAATTGCAAGTCGTTTAGAAACACATCAAATGGGTTTGAATAAGTGCTGATGAATCTCAATAAATGTTGCTGAGGATGGCCAGTGGATTCTTAAAAAATAGACAGATCAGGTGAGGCAACAAGAACGATTTTTTTTGGTTTTCTGGTTGGTCATCCAATGAGGCAATGAGGTTTTCCATAAGCATTAATTAGAACCCAATGAGGGAGGCTTGATGCTCGAGAGACCCTACAGAAACAGGTTGAGGTTATATTCTTGTCACACACCGAAATGCCTTTTGCAGTGTATTTGCTTACCCTGCCACCTTCACTCTTCAGTAACTCTGTCAGAGGGTCGCTATTGATGCGAAATTTTTGATGAAGCATTGATAGTAACTTGCTAAGCACAAGAGCGATCTCGGCTCGAACAAATTACTTGGCTGTTTAAACTCCTTGATGGCTTTTACCTTGTCCTGGCTTGTCCTAGTACCCTCCTTTGTGACAACAAAACCAAGGAAATCGACACTTTCTTTTAAAAAAATGTGACTTTTCTCTGGACATTCGCAAGTTGGCGTTCTGCAGACTCTTTAAAACCTCCGCGATATGCGCAACATGAGACTCTTCAGTTTCTTCCTATTTTCTCCCGTAGAACATCTATCTATCTATTGCCCTTTGCTTAAGCCATTCTTTAGTCCGAAAGGTAGTCGGCAGAACTCGTATTTGCTTCCGTTGAACGAAAAAGAAGTTTTCTCCCTATCCAATTCCGCAAAATCTATCTGGTGATCCGGTAATGAAAATGAAAAATTTGGCCCTTTCCAGATTCGACAGTATCATATTTATACTCGGCATTGGGTATCTATCTATTGGAAATAGTTTTCGAATTTAATTTCCTAAAATCGACTACTAAGCGTTTGTTTTCGACGCCGTAATGCATTCTTGATGTCACACTTAGTTCGTTGATCTTGGTACCTATCTTTCAGGCGATCGCACAAACTAAACCAATTCATCATATCTGAGCTCCGATGCACCCGCCAACAAAACGTCAATGCTAATCCCGAAAATAGGAGATTATCCAACTTTAACAACAGATCGAAGTTTGCATTTAGGCACTGCGTTGTCAAGCAGCTAACCCGATATATGAAATCTTCGATAACCCGATATATGAAATCTTCGATAGGAATGTCAGTACAAGAGCCGCTAAATTTAAGATGATAATTGGAAATTTCACTCGAAACCCTATCTCATCTTTCTGTTGAATAGTCATTTACACTCTGACGTCTCGAATTATTGTCTCTGAAGTTGCTCTCTGTTGTCTCTGAATTTGCTAAAGATTCACCAATTTGATCTGTAATCGTTGCCAAAAAGCTCGCCCTATGGTTTCCAAATGATCGAGCTATTATTTGTTGAACTCGCTCTTCGGACAATCCTTGCGGACCTTCAGCTATACTCTGACGACTTGGCTTCTGCCTTATTGTTGTATTTGGGGCTGACCTTGGGAGATTAGAAGGGTTTTGTACATTCCGTGAAATATTCCTGGTTGGTGGTCGAGTTCTAGGTTCGGTACCTGTTCTTGAACTACCCGCCGTTGCACTTGGCACTTGCAAAATCTGAACCCTTGCTTCTATGGGTAGTGGTTTAGACTCTTGACTTAATACTGCCTCCCGAGTACAATTCTGTCAGCACAATGGACAGGTCTCGTTAGTTTCTAACCAAGTTAATACACACGCTTTGTGAAACTGGTGTCTGCATGGGGTTGTTATAAGTACGGCGGTATTTTTAGCCTCATTACAAATAGTACAGAAAAATGGTTCATTGGCTGATACCAATGAAACGAGTTTTTCAACACTACGCCATATTTTGAGAATTGATTTCATTATTCTATTTGATTTATTATTATTATTTATTGATCTTTTTATTTTATTTCTTTTTATATATCTCTTTGTTGTTTTTGTTGTTTTCCCTTTAAGAAATTAGTTGCCTTAATTAGTCGGAGAATTTTTTTGTTTGTTGATATCTGCATGCCTGGTGTTCTGTCACTGTCATACATATAAACAGCTTTTGAATTCAACTTCCTGTATATGAGGATCATGCATAAAAATTAAGAGCATGAACGATTCTTAATTTTACAACGATTCAATGAGGTATTTAAAATTAAATTAGGTGGTGTGATCTTCGTCCTTTTGACAGAGCCGAATTCCTAAGAAATTCAACTTTAAATATCTGTAGAAATAACGTTTCACACAGTCTATTTTCTGGTTGCTTTTTTTAATTTTACAATTCAGAGGCTTAATTATGAAATTCAGAAACTGAGAAAAATGTTTGGTTGGATCTTTGATAACGGGGGAAAAAAGATAGTTGGGAAATATATTTTAAAGCTTGACCTTAGGCCAATAAATAATATTTAGCCCTATTTTTTTTATGTGTTCCTTCTATTTTTTTTAAACCTAGTCGAACCTCACGTTGGGTGCCAACTCTGTAACGGGTCATTTGATTACATCCTTCGAGGCACTCTCTGGCTAACATAGGTGTCCAGCTAAGCTCAGGGATAAGGGGGTTGTTCTTGTGCCTCTTAGGATGCAGCCGTCACTCGAATAATTTGTAGATAGAAGGTAGCAAGAACAATAGTTCAGAAATACCACCGAAGTGATGTGTACTTAAAGTGCCTACAGAAATAAGTTAGCAACTCATGATTTCATTCAGGTTATTTATAAATTGTGTACCTAAAACTAGGGTGACACATATAAAGTTTAGTAAATTTGTATTTATTTATATCGAAATTCAAGATTTTAGGGACTTCAAATAATGATCGCGAGTTACAGTGGTTTAAAGAGGTTTACTCTGTGTGCTGACAATAGGCTTTTTTCATATAGAATTGTGAGGTATTCTCGGCTATGCCGTACTTACGACCAGGTTCTCCGATTTCGACAGGCCTATGGACGACGTTTTGACCTTGCAGATAATGGTTAAATGTAATATGTATATGAAAAGTTTCAGCTCGTCAGCAGCACATGTAATGCAAAAGTATATTATAAGTGAAAGGGTAAATTAAATTATTTCAAAGTAAAAATAAAAAAAGGTATATATTCAAAATAATTAAAATTAATACAAAATTGGTTTAGAGTTGGTTTATACGAAAATTGCAAGTCGTTTAGAAACACATCAAATGGGTTTGAATAAGTGCTGATGAATCTCAATAAATGTTGCTGGGGATGGCCAGTGGATTCTTAAAAAATAGACAGATCAGGTGAGGCAACAAGAACGATTTTTTTTGGTTTTCTGGTTGGTCATCCAATGAGGCAATGAGTTTTTCCATAAGAATTAATTAGAACCCAAGGAGGGAGGCTTGATGCTCGAGAGACCCTACAGAAACAGGTTGAGGTTATATCTTGTCACACAGAGATATATACTAGATGAGCCATTGCTCATGACTGCGTTTATTTCCAATACTAAATATAATAATGAACTATTCTAACCCCACAAGCTACAACCCGAAATCCATCACTCAACCATCTCCAAATTTGGAGTCGACGAGTCCTCGCTAGCATCGGATAAGTCGGTTAATAAAGTTGCCGAGATTCTATAACCACCATTTCGAAGGAGAGTGCTCTATGCGTGCAGCTATTTCAACAGCAATACGGCTGGAATTTGGCCATAATTGGGTTCTGCTTCCTGCCAAAACTTGTTTTAATGTTGTAGAAATTTTATATGATCGGCTAAATTAGCATCTAAAATCGCGGATATTGCAAGAGCGTTGGGCGTACCGTAGCTTTAAGTTTCAGTTTGTGTCAGAGTCTCAAGCAATAAAGAGCACTTTAAATCAAATCTCCGGCATAGCCGTTAAATAGTAAATTCATTTTATTGAATTG